CCTAGGACCCTTCAGTCCGCAGGCCGACGCTCTATCCACTGAGCCAAACCGGTCAGGGCAGAGACCTGCTCTCTTTAGCGTACACTTGCATTGGTCTCGGGAGTCAGGCCTCGGCAGCCATCCTAAACCCGCCACTTTAGTTGTGGCTTCTTGACGCATTTTACCTGACTTTCCTGTGCCTCCGCCCCCCTCTGCAAATGGATGCTGTACTAGAACTCACCCCATAGGGGGAAGAAGACTGAGTTAAGGTAATGCACGTGCAGGCACGTAGAACCCGTCCTAGCACATGGTCAGTGCTCTGTGAGTGTTGGCTGCTGTTACTGTTACTGACACTTCTCTGCCTAATCCCCTCCCCTAGGAATGGCCCCCAGAACATATACGATCTTTACGAGCAAGTCAGCTACAACTGCTTCATCGCTGCGGGCCTTTACCTCCTCCTCGGAGGCTTCTCCTTCTGCCAGGTTCGGCTCAATAAGCGCAAGGAGTATATGGTGCGCTAGAGCGCGGCCGCATTCACCCCCTTCAGCCCCCTCCCTCTTCTATTTAAAGACTCTCCCCACCCCCTACTGACCCTCATCCCGGGGCCCAGCCCCGGTGCGGAGAGGCCGGGGCTGGCTGTCCCTGTCCCTCCGGCCCCCTCGCCTTTTCCCAAACGACAATAAAGAGAAGCTGCTCTCTGAAGCCTGGAGTCTGTGCTTGGGTCGGGAGAGGCGGGCACTGGGGGCTGGACACCGGCCTCCGAGTAGGCAGTCCCTACCCCTCGACGGAAGTGTAGTGGAGCCGGACCGGAAGGGAGGCGGTCCCTTCCACTCCCCTCCGCGCGCCGAGGCGGCAGAAGTAACCTGCTGGTGAGGCGCTGAGCGGCCGAGTTCGAGCCAATCAGCTGCGGGGAGGGGCGGGACTTCCTGCGCGGGTTGGAGCGTTGGATCGGCGGGCTCTCGGTGGTCCCGGCTCGCTGGCGGCGGCGGCGGCAGCGTCTCCGTGCCGGAGGCGCACGGACCATGACGTCAGCGTCCACAAAGGTTCGACCTCCCTGGCGGACAGCGCTCCCTGGCGGCCACGGGAGGGCGTCCCCGCCCGTCCCCCGCCAGTCCGCTCGCGACTCTTCCGCCTGGGGTGGGGTTTGGGGCGCGGGAGGCCGGCGGGAATCGAGCCCGGGGTGGGGCTAGGGGTCTGGGCGGGACGGCGCGGGGCTGTGCCGAGGCCCCCCGTCATGCTGCCCCACCCGCAGGTCGGAGAGATCTTCTCCGCGGCGGGTGCCGCCTTCACGAAGCTCGGGGAGCTGACGATGCAGCTGCATCCCGTGGCCGACTCTTCCCCCGCGGGGTACGTGAGCCCCGGCCTGGGACGCGGGGGCTGAGTGCGGACGCCTGGACTCGGCACTGACTCGGACACTCTAGGGCAGGGACAGGTGTTCGCTCTAGCGGGCCTTTGTGCGGGTGGACATGCGTGAGTGAATGACGGGAACCGCAGACCATAGACCACCACCACTGCCCACCCACCCGGTCTTGGGGAATTCCCCGACGGCTGCAGACTGTCCAGGTGTCTGTCAGACCCCCCTACGCTTTGAATTGGTTTCAGTGGGCGGTTTACAGCAGCTATTTCACGATAACGGGGAATAGGCTTTCTTGTAATGTGGCGGCTGTTGCAATAGGTGTTTGGGGGTCCTCGGGGTTCCCAAGGCATCGTAAGAGCTTTCTTTTTTAAGGAGGACCTCTTTATGTATCTATGGGAGGGGCTCCAGGGATGGGGGGGGGGGCTGC